CGTCAACCTCTCGGCATGCAGGATAATGTTGGCCTTTCGCATGCATTTGTTCTGATTGCGTCTACTGGGAAGATACTCCTCGTTGAAACGCAAGGCTTGGTATACGTTTGCTGCGCTGTCACAGCATCTGCCCCCGTCATCCATCACTTCATCGAGGCACAATGCATTCCACAATGCTCTATTGTTGCTGATAAACTTTTGTTTGCCAAGTTCGAGTACGGCTGCAGAATTCCTGAGCCTTTTGAACTCACGCCCCATTTTTCATCACTGCACTTCGGGCCTGCTCCCCCGATCGATAAAAATTAAAATGGTCGTCGACAAATGTCATGGTGATATAGCTCGCTCCAGATGTGTTCGCTTCATCATAGCAAAACTGGAAAACACAAATAAATCATTGGCAGCAACAATGACAAGCAACCAACATCAACAGCATTATCAACAGCAACTGCAACTGCAGCAGAAACAGGAAGGAAGGCAAACAAAACCAGCAACATAAAAAAAGAGAAAGCAAAAAGATAAAACATTCTAAAGCGGCAGATTCAATAAACTGATTTCACCTTTGCTTCTTCCCTAAATTTATGATACCTGTTTAGCTATTTGACGTGAAGGTTTGCTAAAGCCCATCTATAAAATCTACCTTCAGAAACATGATTTTGAGATCAAAATGTATGTTTAATGAACCGTCTTCGCGAGCTAGATCGTCTTGCCAGAATTAAACGTCCGGGTGGATTATGCCTTAAACTGTATAATAAATACCAGCTTGGAAACCTGATAGGCCTATATTGTTGGGACTTTTACGTATTACTCCAACTCGGTTCCACGGTTTAAGACCCCCAAACTTTGTCTACCCCCCCCCAGGACAGAGCAATAACAAAAGTTAAAAGGTGACGTCACGTGCAAAGGTCTGGTCCCCCCTCCCCAACTAGTGACTCTAAAATCGCGCCTGGTATTACCGATGGACTATATGTATACTGTGCATATACATACATGTACCCTGAGCTTTAGAAGACTTGTTACTTGGGCGTAAACAGGCGTGTATTGCAGTCGGAAGGATGGACCAATTCACCCACCATGATTCGGATATTTTGGCGAGGAAAATCCCTACAGTACAAACTTCATAACAAAGTTCCTCTGGGCGTTGCAAGTTTTTCTCACGCGAAAACTATACAGTCACTGTTATTTCCCCCAGACAGACAAAAAGTTCGCTGAGTGCACTGCACTGTGTTGGCACATGGTCGATTTACCGATCTGAAAAGAAAGGCTCGTGGAAGGAACAGATACGGAAAGCCCCTCTCCAAATCTACTGCTCATCGAGACGTTTTTAACGTTCCAGGTCTTCCCACGATCTGCCCCGGCACCTGATGCCAAGGTTACGGGACTAGCGGATCCTTTGTGAGGCTTGCTTTCACCTGATGAATCCGTTTTGTGAACGCCATAAAAATGAATGATGAACGCCATAATCGAGTGGGCATGTTTTCACAGAAAGGAGCCCCTCATGGGATTACTTAAGCTTTAAGTGGAAAGCAGAAAATTATTACGTTGTGCGCCAACTATACACGGTGGAAAAAAGTGGTTAGCCTATAGGTCAGACGTGTTACAAGGCGATGCAGTCACGGCGCGTGTGTGTTCCTGAGCAATGCTGTGCTTACCTCATCCTGAAATTAGTGAATTGTATATTTGAACTCAGTGAGCTCAAAAATTGAAAAAAAGGAAAAGTGATGAAAAAGTTCCTTATTTGTTGCTTCGTCACTGTTGATGTACAGCCTGTATTCCTAGCTAATTTGACGACCAATTTGCTGTTATAGACAAGGATCTAGACCTGGTACCCTTAATGCCACGTTCTAAAGTCTGCTATTTAGCACGTTGAACATCAAAAGATGCGACTTCAAATGGTGTAGCAGGGTTGCAGTCTGCCATGGTTGTAAGCCTGGAGGTGGAACGGGTCTAAATTGTGCTGAAATTGCGACCACATTGAGCCAATAATGTCACTCGAAATGGTCGACTTATTGGCAAATTCGAAATCTCTGTCCATCTTCCTTTCAGCACATTCAAATATCTTTTGTGTTTGGTAATTCGGTTTCTTTTAATTAATGATTAACATTTGTTCGTTGCTTGGGAAAAATAATAGGAAACGAGTTACAGAAAACTGTCGACATGACCCAACGTGACGAGCCATTTTTCATAACAAGTCGGTATTTTAATCATTACCTATTTTCATGTTCACGCGTACGCATCAAAATAAGCTAACACCACCCCGCCTTCGCAAGTTTCCGAAGCAATAAGTTCCCAGGTGAAGCTAATCGACTGTACAGTGAACAATCGGCATTTTTTCAGAGGAATGTGGTGTTTTCTGTTCAAAACCACAAACTAAAATCTTGGCACATCCACACTGTAAATCCATGAGATCAAAACAAGATATAAATCAAAGATGTTTGCTACATGTCACCGAGGTGTCGATAATCAACCAGATACTTCAGCGTTAGTCTCGAGCAATTTAAGTGGCGAAACGGTAGAGCGTCACGATTACAGATGGTTTTCAACAAGGGTCCCAGCAGAACTCGTGTCAAAGGGCAGTGTTTTGCTGTCGATGGTTAAGTGGCCTCTTATATTTCTTGCTTTTGTGGCAAAATCGTACCCGCGATCTTTGTGAAGCGGAACTCCGAACTCAGTGCCCCCAAGCTCTGCCCATGGAATCTTGGCTCATGATTTTTATTTTAGGAAGACAATCAGCAAACACACCTGATATGATTCGGTGGCCAGTTTGTTTTTGTCTAGCATTGCACTTGTGAGCACACTGCGTGCAGAGCAGTTCTGAGCAAGTGCTCCGTGTAATTACGCACGTATACTCCCTGCCTGTCAATCATGCTATATCTGTATCCATGACAGGTTGTATTTTGTACCAGTGAATACCATTTTTAGAGTATACCTCAGGTTCAGTTTGTTCACACACCGTGAAGGTCGCACCACTTGCCCTGTACTTTGTTGTCGATAAGAGAATCGTACAATGCTTGCGTGCGCCATGTCCCTCCTTGGGATATGTCATCACGTAGTACCTCGGTCTGGCATTTTGGCAATTAATTGACCAGCCGAAAGAACACCTGTTAAAGACAAAGCACTAAAAACCACTTGTTGCTCAACTTCCAGCCCAATTTAAGTCATCGTAAAAATGATCCACAATACCTCTACACTATGGGCCAGAATATTTCACCCAAATCTGAATTTTGCCTTAACAAACCACTGCTAGTTAATTAAAAGCCGAATTAGGGGTACACCACTTTTCACAAACTTTTCAAATATTTACAGAAATGTCGAAATTACTTTTGGGGGAATTCTAAAGTGAAACAGACTCGAAACCAAAACGTGGATTTTTATATTTTTGAATCCACAGTTGCGTGTATATTATCCCTTTGTAGTCTTCAATCAAAGGAAATGTATGGTATGTTGGCTATACTCCCTTTCTCTCCGTAAAGCACGCCTTCCTAATGCCGTGCGATAATTCTTTTGAAGATTAAGTGTGCTTCGGACAAAACGCGCATGCATGTTTCTAAACGCGCGGTCAAAACTACCACAGGCGTTTGCATGTGGGCAATTGAGTAATTTCAGCCCGGCAGTTAGTCAGGTATTTGCCAACGACCTTAACTCAACCCTGGCATTGCTCCTGATTTTTTTCAATCGAGCTTTTTCCGCCACACCCTATAAAGACCATAAAACGTGAGAATGCCAGCAAATTTTACTTAAACGGTCACATTCCTCGTAAATTATTCAGCGCCACAATTTGAAGGAATCCCAGCTGACCTCTTTTGTCAGAATGAATTTTCAGCCGAATAATTCACGTTTTACATGCCTTAAATTGTGTCTATGAAAACAAAGTGATCAAATTACAGACACTGGAGTGCAGATTCAAGTATACATACGCAAGAAAAAGTAATCCCACTTTCGGGAAATCAAACATATACGATTCAAGTAAAATAGAGATATGAAAATCCCCCCGTCCTTGCGGCGTTGATACTTTAAATCTGACTTTCCATTTACTTTTCACTTTTCCTGCTTTCAGTCAAAAGCAGCCAGAGGAGAGTTTCTTCAAGCAACTGTGGGCCAGTTTCACAAGTATTCTCCCGTTCACAAGTAAGCCGCTTTCTTGTTTTCTGATCGTATATGCTTCATACACAATGGTCAGACACCCACTGAACTCTATCTTTATGCTGAACCTTGTGGTCACTGCTCCCGACTTTGTAATGCATCAAAATTGACGAGTGAAAAGCAAACAAACTGTCTTAGATCAAAGGCTGCCTCTTAATTTAGTGTCTTTAGATCGAGGTCTTCGCCCAGTAGAAACAACGCGGGCACATACGAAGTCGTGGCTCGGGGTGTCTTGGCTGCGGCCGTCACCCAGCGGTTCCCCTGTAAGGGCGCCTATGTGTTTACCATCATATCTGCCTATTTCAAATCTCTCACGCACAGGCCCCATTGCAAGCCGACTCCATAGGATCAACTGCCATTTATTTCGTAAATTCATTATATTTCCCCCCGCCTGTACTTTTAGGTATACGATTTGTATGAAATTTCACGTACATTAAAGTACAGGTATACGTTGTCACAATAAGTTACAAAGACTCTGTCTCCCAGCGACCCAGGGAAAATAATGTTTGTCTACTTCTCATGGGGACGGAGCCGTGCCGGTTCCTGAGATCCCGCCCTAAGGGTTAATCATGTCCGTCAACTTTCATCATTTTGGAGGGGATTTTTGTTTGGTCGGGCCCGGTCACGGTCATGAAGAAGCTGGGAGCTCAAGATGTACTTTACGGACCCAGTCATAGTTACACCTTGACGACAAGGAGGGCATTTTTTTGCCTCTAATAATGCGACCGTGGTGTGAATTGGAATCATTTTGCCGCAGAGGCTCTTGTCGTCAATGGAGGAACCAGTCACTAAGAGAATCTGATTTTTATGTAATTATTTTATTTTCATTTTACCATCGTGCAAAATGCAACGCCCCCTTAATGTGACAAGGCCAGGCGATATGGATAAATCCGTAATGTAGACCTGGTGAGGTAGCATTGAACAATCACATCACAAGTCAAAACGGAATCGTGATTCCCATGGTGCTTGCGGTTTGAATTGTCAGGTACAGCTCCTCTGTATGAAAATAAAACTTCATGACAATCTGCACTGGCAAGATAATCCTGCCTATGCGTCTTGCTGGATACGAACCATACATATGTGTCGCTGTCAACAAAAGAGGCATTGTCAGAAGTCCAGAATATAGGGAAAAGGACGGCAAGATTAACGCGTCCCGGCAGCTGTCAGCTGCGAAACAAGGAGTCAGTATCAACTGCTTTCCCCCTTGCCATGGACTTCGACTCCAAGTTCATTCATTCTGGTTGCTGAGTCACCTTTTCTTGTGTATGTCTTGTGCCGTCAAGTATCTAAGCTATAAACGTCAATGTGTTTAAGCAGTTAACCCAAAACAAAGAGAGTCATTCGGCTTGGATTAGTCGATGACGGCATGCCGTCCTCTCGGTAGAAAAATGCAGCGTCGGGCTTGCCGCAGCAGGGGATCAAAACTCCTTCGCTATTTCCTTCAAACTCGTAACTTCTCGCTTCCCCCTCCATAACCCAGCGTCTACATGTTTATGATATGATGTGACCCTTGAGTCGCCTCAGTACACAGAGGCTCTGGCAAACTCCCCTTTCTCCAGGACCCTAGTTCAGCAGGTTTGGTTGGCATGGTGTGTGCATTGATGCCGTGCAGCGTACACCCTCATACCACGTCGGCTGGAATCTGACCCACCGAATAGCAAAGGAATTTTCCTTATTACCGCGCTGACTTGTTCAGTCCAAACTTCCGACGAGGCCCGGGAGGGAATTATCCGAGGACAAGCTCGGAGCAGAAAGAGCTCGGGGGCTGAAGTGACCGTAATTTGCTTGGAGTGGTAGCCGGAAAGACGGACGTGAAGGAACGGCCATGGGGCGTTGTACGCCTTGCTTTCCTACACGGGGTAAACAGATCGCACCAGGTAAATATCCCCACATTCTTTCTGTAGTCATGAAATGACAGGTGTGAACTTCGGAATGCGGAGATGCGGCTGTATGCGAAATCTCCGAAGAGAAAAAAGTGCCGAACCTGTTACAAATAAAATCTTGTGGGTTTCAATTGCGCCGTAAAGATGCATTACTATAACAGCATCGTGACCAACCGGTGTAAACAGTTTCGACATACTGTGCGTGTCATCAAAGTACAATGTACTCGTTCATCGACTCATTCAACAAGGGGAATGTAATCCTGTCTGAAATTTTACTAAGTGTGAGAACACTGTGGCATTATGTCCGTCCCACGTTAAAAGTCTGCGCTAATCCACTAGGACAGGTGTATAGCTTGCAAATTGAGCCCGCGAAAAGTTTCTCCGATGTCGCAAAGCGCATGCGTGATATACGGAGGAAGATCAAACAGGTAACTCAGAGGGCGTATGGGTATATTTCAAGTGTGAACTTAGCGTGATAGCATTTTCGTCTTGATTTCACAGTTACGGAGCAAGGATAGGATTTGAAGCCTACTCTATCTAGTAGACGAGAAACAAGGTTCCTTCTATAGGCTACAATTACACGGTCTAATTCAGAAGCAATTGACAGTGTTGGGTGGAACCCAATCTGGTCCACTGACCTGAACGACCGGTTGGGGATCACATGTTCGAGATGTCGACATGTCGGACCTTAGTTTAATGCAATATTGAAGGAGAGGTTCCCAGTCATGCCAACAAAGTCATAATACTCTTGCATGACAGTGGCTCAATGCACATCAGTTTCTGATGGATTGATATGCAGCGCTCAAATGTTTGGAAGGGTGAAATCTTGGGCAAAACAAAACGTTTGGAATTTGTAACTTTATGTCCTTTCTGAGAGACGAGGCAATATTTTGGGGCTTTTTACACGTTTATGGAAGGAAGAGAAAGGAAATTGAAGAAAAAAATTGCTTTCAAAAATATGTTGGCTCCTTTTAGATCTGTCCATGCGCTAAAACGAATCATCCATTCGGGTATGACTGATCGGCGAATAAAATCGCAGCCACTGTTATCCAAGCTTTGTCGGATGACTCGTATTGTGTTTGTATTCAAATGCATACTGGCATATTCGAGCAAGGACTATAGCTAACTATAGCCTTGACTAACATCGCCCGAATGATGAATGGTTTGGACCATCTAGTCAACCATTTGGAGGCCACATGGGCATTGTTTCTGCTTCACTGGTTATCGATAACCAATCTGTGTAGGGAGGGAGCCATTCATATGAAAATAACTTTACTGGATGTCACAGACTGCTGGAGCTGCAAAAGTTGCAGCCAACAGCAAAATATGAGAGACGATGGGATTTTACAAACAACTGCTGTTCGACTGTGGCTGCACTGTGAGTGCAATTGACCAGTGGTCAAGCGTAAGTCGCACCTAGCTTGTCCATTGGGTACTTCTGCATGCGTTCGAGTACATTTTCTTTTTGTACCAAAAATGTACTCGAGTACAAGTGCAAGTACGAATGCAGAAAAAGTTTTTGTCAAAAGTTTGAACACAAACACTAGGTTCAATTTAAAATAGTAAAGATAGAAGAGATTTCTGAAGTGCTTGAAAGTAAAGCAACATTTGATTTTACTGCACATTATAGACTGGTCGAAATGTTAAGATTGGCATCCATTTTTCAAGTCTAATTTGTGCTCAGGACAGATGTGATGAATACTGTCTTAGTGTCGAACGGCATTTGTTGCACGCTTTTACACTTTTCTTCTTATCCTGGCAACAACAGGGAAGGGGAAGTCGAGGTGTGCTTGAATAAAAATGTAAGGATCAGCGGGATCTTGTCTCATGAAAGACTCCATATTTGAGTTATTTCTGTTTCTTACCTTAATACAGTGTTGTAGCGCTGACGTCATTGGTACCCGTCACCATGTAGTTAACATAGTTCCTTGGGAAAGAGTGATCACATGTACGTATTCAAATTGGATTGAAAATACCTAACATGTCTGTGGAAAGTCTGCGATCCAAGAAGTAACGTTAGTCAAGTTCTTCGCGTCATGACACGTTATTATGTGGCGAGTGTACCCATGCATCCATGAATGAATGCCTCACCAATAAGTTAAATTATGATCAAACAAATAAAATACAGAAAACGTGCACGGTGTGATTGTCGGTTTACAATCATTGCCGTCGAGTGCACATGTCAGTGAGTACGAGTACGTCTTCCACGAGAGTCCGAGTACACAGACGTTTATCTTGCGATTGCGAGTACCAGATAAATACTCGAAGAAGAGTATAGGCCTACAAGGACCGCACGAGTGCTACAGTACTCTCAATATATATTGCAGGGTGCGAATAGGTCAATTAGTATTGAAGAATTCAGACACATCCCACGTCGCATATTTCAACATGAAAAGGTCACAAAGTATACACCAATATCCATATAGCTTGTGTCATAAATTCAAATCCAGGCGACGCGTGGTACGTGTGCTAAGCTGGAATTGCAAATTAAACAAAAAAGTCCAGAACTGCGCGATACAAGGCAGTGGTGTATCCAGCATACTTGTGAGTCCCAAGAGATAATATTTTGTCCTAAAGACTATCCCAATTTTTTTCATCTGAAAAATAAGCCGTAGAAGAAATGGTACAAGGGGTGCAAATGGTACACCGTTGGCGCTTTCAGTTCCTAAAAAGAGCAGTATACTCATGGGAACTCTGCCGGATACGCCGCTGATATCGAGTAGACTGATATACCAACAAACCAACACTCACTTGGAGCAAAAAAAAAAAAAAAGAAAAAAAGATGATTACAACGCGATTTCAGTTGGTCACCTGTCTTTGGTCAGAATGTAACAGCAAGGGCAATGACGTCAAGGTTTCATCATCTTTCAACAGAGCAAGACAGCTGAATAGCAGAATCTTAAGCACTATACGATCGGTCATGCACTCTTTATTGGAGAAACAGTGGAGACAAGAAAAATCTGGTTCGAATTTTGCCCTGGTACCCTTTCCTTGGCATGCCATTCCTTCCCAGGCAGAGTGCTTGCCAGTAAAGGAAAGCTTCTGCACAGGTGGGTTTAGCCTGCGTTGGGTTTGTAAAAACATATCTCCTAAAATGCTGAACAGAAAAAAAATCTTTCATGGGATCTCTAGAGTATAGCCGCTTTCGTGCGAGCCGAGCATCACGTGTACAGCTGAAGAAACACAACAGAAGTATCGCAAACATCCTCAAGCTCATCCCGGGGAGGGCATGAAACAACGAAACCTCATTTTTATTGGGAGAGAGAAAAAATGACATTTTACAGCTGCTTTCATCTTTGATAGCAACCAGGTTTATTTCCAGCTTGGAGTCACTCCGGAGTATCGCATATCGTAAATATGGTGTCGGTGGGGTCCACGGGTTCGTTCTGGGTTAGAAATTGGACTTGTTAGGACCACCACAGCCCTTTGGGGGAAAGCAATCCACGTCTTTCAAAGTGCAGCCGTCAAGTCCGGAATTCGACTTAATACAGAGGGCCAGACGATGTCAATTTTCCCCTCCCTTGCCACCGTCGTCACACGCGTCGCACTGATGCACTCTCTTTCATCACTTCCATCACAAGCCTTAGGAGTAAATCCAAGAGCAGAACAACGCAATTATCCAAGCGAATCTGGAATTTCACCTTGGAATTCGACAACGGAAACTGTGGATTTTTTTCTTCTGACTCCAGCTGCCCGACCAATCAGGGCTCGAGGCTCCCCGATCAATCCGGGAAGAGAGAGGTATATAAATTGCGGTCGTCACTTCATCCTTTCGGACTAGTCAATTTCTGTTTATAGACACAGGAGAGACAGAGGGGGTTTACACACAATACCCAGCGCATTAAAAAATCACTGGGCGCCAATTGAGGCAGAGACGGGAGATCGCGATCATTTCAACGGTCGAGCTAGACGGCGGCGAGGAGGTCGGTCACTTGCAGATACCATGGACATAGAACGGGGAATTGGACGCAGCTCAAAAGGGGATATATTAATTATCGATGATCTGAGCTTGGCCGAGAAATCCTGCCAACACCTGTGTGAGTTTCCTATCGATCCCATAATCTCGATCTCTTTATTACAGCCATCAGTTGCATTATTATTTTTTTACCCTCTTCAATATTACGGATATGTATTCTTATTCTCAGTATTTTACGGAAAAAAAAATTGATTAGGCACACATTTGTTTTGTTTAGTATCCAGTGTTTTTTTAAGATCTGACACTTTTTCTCATAAGGAGACATCAGGCCTGTGTCTGCAAATAACATGGCAGAAAAAATTTACAAATGTATGAATCATCTGAAATCGGCCGTCAACTTTGTCTGGAAAGAGCAATTTTGTGCTTGACATTTATCAGTTTTTACTCTTTCCTCGATGGATTTAGATGTAAAGACGCGTCGCTCATCACGAGATTGGCACTCGGATCGTTTGACTCTCCATTTGGCCGCACGCAACGTAAATGACAAGCGTTGTCTAAACTCTAATCTGTGATGTCTTCTGAATTAGTGATAAACTATATTTTACTCTGATTCCAAACTCCACTTACTGTAAAACTGGACAGAAAGTATGAGCAGGATAAAAGGAAAAAACAACGGAGCGGGTAAAAGCCATCAGTTAACCCCTCAATTTGTGTGTCAATCTCTCTTTTGAAAGTAATCAAACTGCATTACAGACATTACATCGACTAACCTATGTTTATCTACAGCTGACACCAATAGCCCGCACAGACCACTACTGCTTGATTGCTAGAGCTATTCTCGATGCTTGCAAATTATTGTTCATGAGCTAATAAAAAAAAACCCTGCACTGCGTCCCGGAAGGTGAATGACAGAATGAGAGTGCTCCCACAAGCTTTACTTTCTAACTCAGGTCCACGATGCGTTTTATTTTTTTTCCTGTTCCGAGTAGCAAAAATGGTCTGTAAAGTGTTCTCCATTCAGGTATAACATTTCTTTTGATTCAGGAACTGGCAAAGTGCCAAAATAATTATGTTGACGAATATACTACTACGTGCTGTAGTAAGGGCTCTGACAGCGTTATATCATGGCTTTCTTACGGGATGTGCACAGCTGCATGCTGAAATCAAACACAGCGATCGGATCGATCTGATTCCCGGGAACCTCGGATTTACCTGCTGGAACACTTTTCTGTTCCATAAAAATGTAGCAGTACCAATAACTGAGGCTTATTGATTCGGTATTTGGGATATGCCATAAGCTTCGTATTGTTGTGTTTTTATTATTGGTAAAATGCTGAGGGGAGGTTTTCAAAGCACCGCCCAATGGCATTTCCGCCATGATTCCTGGATCGATATTTTTTCTCTTTGTCTCTAGTTGGGAACTCTGTCGGCTCGTGTTTTTATATATTCAACAGAGACGTGATTTTTGACGGTCATAGTGTTCAACAAAATGAAAATCGCCAAAAGAAATACCCAGATTCAAAAAAGCACGCGACTCCACCAACCGTGGTACGCTTCCTGAAATACCTTTGCCTGTCGCGTTACGTCCCGTGAAAAACCTGTATCCGAGATGTGACGTCATTTTGAACCAGGAAGTGTAGTACAAACGAATGGAGCGCGCGCATGTTGGGTTCTCGTGCTAATGCCTTTATAGTTGCGCACAGGACATATTCGCATTGCATTGGTGTAATTTTTTTTATTTTCGATGAAATTAGCCTTTTGCGAGGTCATGAACTTCAAGTCCGACTCGCGTTATGTTTACCCCACTTGAGATCTGCAAAACGCCATTTACCACTTGAAATACTGCTCAGGTGCAGTTGCATATTCAACCACTGGTATGACTCTCGCTGCGTAGAATAGCATTCAGATGTCAGGCCTGCCATAACAACACCAGCAGAAAGTGCACCGCATAGCGTGCCTGTATCAGCAGCACAATGCGGTCGCATCTGGCCGATTAGCATCAAACGTGGAGCGCAATTAGACGATGTATACACGATACCCCTTCGTGCAGCTGGTGGGCCCGGATAACTCGCAGAAGGCGTCGGGCAGGTAACATTTCATCTCGGATTCATAATCTCCCTGAAGACGATCCCGTTGACTTTTACCGTCCCGGCTGGGTGCAAGGGGGATGTGGCGCGGTACCAGCATACTGTTAAGGTTCAGGGCCGCTCTCTGCGTTGGTTTGTGACATCCCCCACACTGAATACCACAACCTATTTTCAGAACACAGAGCCCCCACCTGGTGTTTCCCGTACCGATTTCTTGTTTATAGTTCGTACACCGGGCAACACACCAGTAGAAACACGGTCTCTGTGGGCGCAACATTCTTCCTCTTCGTCGAGCTTATATTTAGGTCTCGAACAAAATGGCATGGTAGTTATGTGGCCTGGGTGAAAGACTTCTGCATATAGACTGTAAAAGGTGATGCAATTAAAACACACGTGTCTTGTGGTAATCCTGTACCCGCAAATGCACGAGCGAGGATTACTTTGTTCATTATTGGAACGAAATCCGATTACTCATTAACAGGAAGCGCCTTTGAAATACACATGAACGTGGAGTACAAAAACTTGGCACGGAATGATGGATTTTAGCTGTGAATGTCTTCAACGCTGTGACATAACATGCGGCAATAATGTCGACGAACACTTTCTTCAAACATAAGCCTATGAAAAACCAATTAGGCAATCTTTCAAAATGGGGCTCCACCCGGCTGAAATTCCCACATTGATTGCTAGTGGTGAAAGATTCCCTTTTGTCAACACGGTGCCAATGGAGATCACTTCCGGAATTGTTCCCGCCGCCCCCGCGGCTCGTAGCACGTGCTCAACTCCGATTTGATTTTACCGCGCACTGTTTTATAATGCCAACGCCGCGGATGCAGCAGGCACGAGGCCGTGCGTGGTGATACGCTTTTGCTGAGGTTCTCAACACACGCACAACATGGTGCTCTCAACATAATGGCATGGATA